ATGTTGCACAAGTGTACATATATACTGGCTGAGAATTGCAAAAAAGCATTTTTTAAATATTATAAGCCTCAGTTTTGTACAATTTTTTTTATTAAGAAAGTGTGTCATATGAGCGGCGGATTTGATGGGGGAGAGGAATAACAAGTTTAATGAAGACAATTTTAGAATTTTTGCAATATATCAGCTGTTATGCCATTGCCCATTAATCATTCTCATAGCGTCAAGAAATTATATTCTGCAATGGTGACCCAGTTAATTCTCTTCGTACCAATGAAGTTGCCAACTGGTGGAACCAACGAAGACAATTCCCTTTACTTCATCGCTAACCACACAGCCTTCAACTAATACCTGGGGATAGTCCAACGGAAAGTCTGATCACCAATCCCCAAGTTGTAAGTACGTACACATTTTACTCTCTCTCCCTCTCTCTTCGCACTTTAGCTGTAGTACCAATTTTTTTTTTTTTTTCATAAAATGTATTGAAAATGGTATAATAAAAGACCAAATATTTACTACTAATTTAAACTTATTGCATCGCCTATTGAAACACTACACTTACGTGTATATCAGAATAAAATCAAAAATATTTTTTAACGCATTTTCTGGAATCACCTTCACTTCACTCGAAAATTCTCTTTAATGTGATCTATCGACTGAATACGCGAATCTTAAGATGGTAGTTTGAGGTTTGATAAAAATAAATATTGGCTGGAGTTAGGTCATGTGGATTACGATGGTATTACATTTTTGATAGCCTTCCAGGCATGATTTTTATGTACACAAATCTTATTCTTTTCGACGAATTTGTTCTGTAAAATACAGCATGATGTTAAGATAATATTTTTATCTTCTAATTATCTGTCGAAAATTCCGAGCGCTCAGCAAAGCTATGGTGAAGAGCAACAATTAATTTACCCTGATTTTAAATTCATACTTTACCCATGTGTATGTATGTTTTTACAGTTTCAACTCAGTTTTAAGGTGTCATTCCGAAGCTTGCTAGGTAGTTCGCATTTCATACTCGTATACCTTTACTTCATTACCACTTGTAAAGATGGCGCCGGAACTAATTCTTTCTGACATACCCAAAGCGACCTCATAAAGAAAAATCAGGTTTTTCAAAACTATCATGCACCAATATTTGTTTTAAATACTACAATTTTGTTTGTGGAACACATTGTGTTTAGGGTTTTATTTTACGCCATAACAACGAGTTTCAGTCACCATTTTCGCATCACTTGAAGACTTTGAGGCGGACCAGTGTTAAATACAACTTCCACCACTTCTCGTCTACTTTTGTATGCACTGTATCAAATATAAATGCAGCTCAGATGGAAGTCTAAAAAAGCTTTAGAAATGAAATAAATATATAATATATATAATATAATATATAATAGTAGAGTAAAGCCATTCTCAGTAATTACAGCATAGGTAGGAAATATCTACCAAGTGAGTTCAAACTGTATGTGTATCTATAAAAAAAAGATTCTGTAACGTAAAAGTGTTGCTCCTACTTGATATCAATATTTCTAAATTTAAATGTCATAATATCATTAAGGAGTAATCAATTTTTACGCTCTATACAAATATTTCTCCATAAAATAAAATGTTTCTAACAAAACTAACAATACTTCCGTTGACTTTGTATTTTTACATGCCTTACCTTTCGTTTAAAAAACTGATAGCCGGTAACACCGCCTGTAAGTATGCTCAAATAATATGGAATGGTGGAAAAAACCAAATTTTTTTTTTACATATTTTTCATAAGACTATGTATTTACTATAACTATATACATATGTTGAATATTTTAATACAATATTATTTTAACATTTTTCATAAATTTTTGTATTGCGAGCTATATTTTTTTAATTTATGTCGTGTATTTTTTTAAATTATCCAAGCAAGCAATTTCTGACATAAATTTATTATGCTTAAGACGGAATTCAAATTTAGTGGAAAACATAAATAAAATCTCATAAAGATTTTTTAATTATAATCATTTTGTTTTATTTTTTTTTAACTTTTTCTCTACAGTTTCTCATGATCATTGGCTCTTCCATAAAAAGATTTATAATAAAAATAAAATGAGATTTATTATAAAAACGCAGAATACGCTAGTATTCAAAGAAGCAATCGAAAATCTCTCACTGTCTTGTACTAAAGAAAATTCTATTATCTCTTCCTTTTACCAAGTTTGGTGCTTAAATATTCTTATTTTTTGCCGGTTTATATACGAAAAAACAATCGACCCATCTTAAACAATAATTGGCAAAACATTTTAATTATTAAATATTTTTCAAGCGATCAGCTTGTATTTTTATTGAAAATTTCCTTTTATAAACAATTTGCGTTAGTGGTTCTTGTTATTTGTTTTGTTTGAAATATATTTTTTTAAGAAACACAAGATATTTCTATAAAAATCTCTCAGAACTTAAATCCGGTATTCTGAAGTCACCCAATCAGTCTTGCCTCAGTCATTTACGCTCTGTGTCTTTGAACTGTCCATTGTCTCCTTATGAGGACACCTCTTCAAATAGCTACATCTGTAACTTACAATCAAAGAAACCATCTGCACAGCAATTGATAATATGAATAAAAGTATTGCAAAAATTCTACGTCGCTGAGCCTAATCCAATTGAGTTTTACTAAGCGCAAAATTGTGCTTTCGGCAAGCCAGTTGAGAAACGAATTGAGAAACTTATTGTCAACGACGAATTATGTACGTGAATAAAAATAAAAGGACTCCCTACTGAGCAGGTTAATAAAAGTTTAGATGACAATTTTCGAGTTTGGATGGGCGCAAATTCAACAAGTAAAAAAAAAGATATTTTTAAAAAACAAAATAAACTTTGTTGCTTACAGTCCAGCCACTTTTTCAAAATTAGACTCATTAACCGAAATTCTAATCAAGGGAGAGTTCTTCATAACATACTTTCTGCTGTTGAATCTACGAATGCAAAATCTGTTTGAAAACGATAATCGGAATTGAACAGTAACCAGCGCAAGGCAAAATCACCTATCTACTGTTATATGATCCAAAAATCGATAGCGTTAATGTCACAATAATAAGATAAAAAACCAAAAAGAAGAACAACAATGAAGAAATCAAGTTATAGGACAAAATATAATTAACGCATTGACAAAAAGCATTTTTGATTTATTTTTTTCTCTTTCCTTTAAAATTTTTTTTCTTTTTTTTAGATTTTACTGAAATGACATTTTTAACCTACTGGCCTCTCATTATAAACTAATTGCTAGTGAGCTAGTTAATTGCCAGCTAATTTTCTGAATTTTTGAAAGGTTAATTTTGATGCAATTAGCTATTTTAATGCTTGTGTGAACAGTATTCGTGATCAAAGTGTTTAGCTTAGTACCTCATTTTTCAATAATTTTTTATCGAACATTTCTAAGTAGATTTTAAGCTGCGAAAAATGGAAAAAATAATTAATTAACATCTAAACAAATTACTTTAAAACCAACTGCTTCTAAAGGCAGAAATAAAGGCATATAGACAAAACCAGCCCGAACTTATCGCTAAATCTTACTATCAGTAAAATATTGCTCTTTATTATTTCAGTTCAATTAATTTCATTTTCTTTTTCTATGTACAATTGTCAAGTCTAATTATACCGCTGTTTGTTTATTTCACGCTTAGCATTTGTTGTTTCTATGTGTCAGCTGAGCACTAACAATTCGTAATGCAACACTTAATGAATAATTTCGTTTGTATTTTGCCGCTAAAGTCAAAAAGGGGAACCTAATCTCACTCTAAGTTACTCCGATTCGACGGGAGCGAGTTGGGTGGTGTTAGTAGCCAAGTAATGACACTTATTGCTACAACATGAGCTGCAGTTAAACTGAAAAATAAAAATTACTATACTTTTTCTTTTTTTCAAAATTGGTTTTTCGGCTTGTAATTAATTTTATACAAACCTCTAGCAGACAGAGTACTTGCTCAACTATGAGGGCGCCTCAGCAGTTTGTCGTTTTATTTTGCCATTACTTTTGTATGCAAGCACACATACATGGAGCAATATGTATTCAAATATAAATTTTAATGCATATACTTTTTTTTTTTTGTTTTTGAATTTTTATGTTGTTTTATTTTTTAACTATTTTCCTACAAACTCAGTTTTATCACAGTGCAGCACAGTGCTGCACAGTTGCCAATTGGGTCCATTCGAAAATTGACATTTTTTCAGCAGTTGCACTATTTGCTGCCATAATCCTCGCTAACCTCATTCACCACTAACCAACCCAATGATGATGATAAGCTGGTTCATTGCTATGGGTTTGTTCTTGTTGTTGTTGGTGGCTCGTCGATTGCTAGGTGGCGCATTTTATTTGGTTATTTGGTCGTTTGGTTTGTAGGTGGTTGAGACTCATTCAGCGATTTTATTCACGTTATTGCCATAACCATCCACTATTAGTCATGTCATTGTGGATTTAGCGTACAAATGCTGAAAATTTACATACATACATATCTATATATGTGAAGCGCGTTAAAACTTTTGTTGTATTTTGCGGTTAAATGTATTACACGTGCAAGCGACTGCCCGGTAGCAATGGCGACAGTGCACGTAATAGCCCTAAAAATAAAATAATATAAAAAGTTAAAGTTGAATATAAAAAAAAAAAAATATAAAATAAATTGCTGCAATCAAATGTTAGTTGGCACTATTGTTGTTGCTCAGATGCGAAAAGGTTAACGCTGTTTTGCGTTATTTTATTGAAGGGAATCGCTCGCTGTTATTTCACTATTTATTTCTTCATTTGTTATAGTAAATTGATAGGCTTTTGAGCTCCATATACATAAATACATATATATATTGAATGTTGTTCGGCTAATGTCTTGCGGTTTTTTTTCATTGCATATAAACGCTTGCCTAATGGATTTTTAGCATTACTAATAAATATGTTGTCATTTAATAAGAAATTTGCATAACCAACTTTTTATAAATAATTAATCATAATTTTGCTTAAATTTCTCACTTTCAAGGCTTCACGGAAGGTTTCAAAATGTGGTTACTTATTCGTAGCACCCGATTGGGATTTTAGTAATCCGCTCTACAGAACTAAGGTGAGTCAAATTTTCAATATAAACTTCGATTTAAAATAATTCAAATTAATATACAGCAAGAATTAAGTCAAGAATTTCAATTTAAAAAACTTAGAAGAAAACGTTAAAAATAGTATAAGCAACGAAATAAAAATATATAAAACTTTAGTTAATTAATATAATATAATGTAATATAATATAATAAAAAAATAAAATTAAATTACACTAAACAAAATAAAAACTAAAACAATATATATATGTAATAAAAGAAATAAAAAAACTTCCATGATATAAAAAAATAACAACAATGAAATATAATGAAATAAAATAAAAATAATTAAATGAAATGAAACTAAGCTAAATAAAATAAAAAAATAGACTAAATATAAATAATATATCAAAATAAAAACATAAAATTAGTTAAACTAAAAAAATTAAATAACATAAAATTAAATAAAATAAAAAAAATAAATAATATAATAACAATAAAAGAAATTCCATGATATAAAAAATTAAATATAAAGATATAAAATGAAATAAAATAAAAATAAATAAAATGAAATGAAACTAAGCTAAATAAAAACAAATAAACTTAATATAAATAATATAACAAACTAAAAAAATTAAATTAAATAACATAAAATGAAATAAAATAAAAAAATTAAATATTATATATATATTTATATATAAAATATAATAATAATAAAAGAAATAAAAAAATTCCATGACATAAAATAAATTAAATTAAAATAAATTAAAATATAATGAAATAAATTAAAATAAAACAAATAAATGGAATGAAACAAAGCTAAATAGGATAAAAATATAAATTATTTATTATAATTTATTAAAATAAAAAAAAAAAAAAAATAAAATAAAATAAAATAAAATGGAATAAAAAAAAATTCAATTAAAATAAATAAAATGAACTGAAAATAAAATAAAATGAAAAGTAATAAAATAAAAAGAAATAAAGTAAAATGAAATAAGTTAATATAAAATAGAATAAAATAAAATAAAATAAAATGAATTGAAAACAAATAAAATAAAATAAAATAAAATTAAATAAAGTAGAACAAAATAGAGCAAAATAAATTGTATGAAATAAAGCAGAATAAAGCAAAACAAAAAGGAATTAAGTAAAATAACAATATTAAATATATAACAATTAAAATAAAATAAAATACAATAAAATTAAATTACATTAAACAAAGCAAAATTAAACATTTTAACACTAAGAAAACAAAAAAAAATAAAAATAAAATAAAATAATAAAAGAAAATAAAGGAAATTCCATGAATTAAAATTAAAATAATTATATAAAATTAATTGAAATAAAATATAATGAAAAAAAATAAAATTATTTTAAATAAAACGAATTAAAAAAAAAAAATTACAATAAAGTGAAGTTAAATTATTTTAAATTAAGAAGGAAATAAAATATTATATTATAATCCAATTAAAGGTAAAATGAAATGAACCATCCATTTCTAGTATGTATATACAATACATATGGAAATAAAAAGTTTCGAAGTTTTCCATTTATTTTAGTAAAGTCAACATGACAATAAAAATACAAAATTTTCGCACAAAATCCTAACCATTTTTTTATCGCTCATTCAGTAGTTATTTGAAGTCACTAAAAATAGAGGAAATAAGTGCATTAGGTAGACAACATTATCATTATTATCACTAAAGTAACACCATATATGTACAAAATGTACATTCACATACATACATACTCGTATGGATTGTTTACCTTCCCAACAAATATATGGAAACAAAAATTTTGCCACACCTTCCAGTTTGAGCCCCACAACCACAACATTTTATCTGCTCCCACTGCACTCGGCCTCAATGAAAATCATTAAGACACAATTTTATTTAAATAATAATTTCTACACATACGAAAAGTCAAAGCAAAAACGCTATTGTAACCAAAAATGCATTTTAATGAGTTGCATTGAGCAAAGAATGTAGACACCTTTAAGCTGTTTTACAAAAAATCATGAATGAAATGAAACGCCTAAACACAGAGAACAATACAAAAGCTTTTATTAAACAATTACACCGCATATAAGGATAAATAGCACAGAAATGCAGTATTTTGCAAACCGTTTATGAATATAATTACTATAAAGGGTGCAGTATTTACGAACAATAAATATTCAGTTAAGATTTTGTTTAAGTGAAAAAGAATGAAAATTGTGAAATTTTGTAATTACTTTCGTTGTTTGGCGCCAATTGGGAATATCAAGTACAGCCAAGTCCTTCTTCTAATGGAGTGGCAGTCTTTCTCTGGATACCCTGGCGGATACTGCATGGAAAAATTTCAACGCTGGAGTATTCTTATGGTCTATCTAGTGTAGCCGCTGTTTCTTGATACAAAATCGCCGTTCCCAACATCCCTCGAAAGCTTCTCACACCGACTCATCTTATGTGGATCTTATGAGAACATTACTTTTCCCTGGCCTACTCTATCCAAAGTACCACCTATTGGCAAGACTGATTCTGCTTTGGCTTTAAAGATTGTCATTGGCGTTAACGCAGGTACAAAGATAGATGAAATTATGTAACGAACGGCTTAGAGTCCTTCCCGATCGTGGCTGAGCTTTGGGTGTTGCTTAGCGTCATTTTAAATATGTACGGGTGGAATACATAGCTCGGACAAAGCGGCGTAGAGGCAGCACCCTTCCGTGCTATCGAAAGCTGCTTTATACTAGACGAAGATGTGGTATAAATGTGTCGATTGGCCAAGACTTGACGCATGGTGAACATCTGGTTAGTGGTGGATTTGTACTGTCTAGTAGGCTTTAGAAGGTCAATTTAGTTAGTTCATGGTGGGCCTTGGACTTTCACATAATACGCTCTGTAGCGCTTTATACCCAATATTGAGGTAACACAGAGGTGGCACAGACTGTGTTATCCTCTTCTTTTTTGGATTTTGCAGAGCACATTTAAGTTCTAAACGTGGGGCATTGCTTTCATCCAACCTTTTTTTGTAAGACAAAACTAAAACATGTATCTTGCTGTATTTGAAGAGCTCGGCCGGTGACATATCGTCCGCCTACTATATGTTCTTTTTTTCAAGCGAGCGGACTCATAAGAGGGCAACGAAACATATGTGGTCATTCCGCAGGCTGCACATGTTTTCACTCCTTAAATTCACTATAAACTGTATAAAGTTTGCTCCGTTCTTAAAATCTACCGTATCTCGGCATTTTTTCCATAGAATTTTCGAGCAATACCCTTTGTCCTTCAGCTCATCAAGCTCAACATACTTACTTGCTTCCTTCAATTCTCGGTACTTATCACACCCCACACGTGTAGTGGGGTTGTGCGGATATCTGAAACTACCGACAAACATATTTTCGGCGCAGGCGAAGTGGAAGCTGAGACGACTCAAAATGTTTCAACATGGAACTCTCCAAAAACAATTTTCACTTCCCGGCGGGGGCAGCGTTTATACGCGAATCCGTAGTCACATGGTCCTTTTCTTCCGCCGAGAAGATGGCACAAATCAGCGACTTTTTTAAAAATTTCGCTTTGATGCGGATTGTGGCAGGACGTTCATCCACCAGAGTGAATGCCAGTACTGGGCGACAGAGTCTCTCTCATTCCCCACAAATCCAACGCCAAATTTGCGCTCCTGTATATGGTTTATTCGGTTTCACTACTACAAATTCTCAACTTACTTTTCATTAACACTTTGAAAATCATTCCTTTGTTCAGCTGACTTGTGCTTTATTTAACAGTAATGAGAAGGTAGGGGTATTTTTTACCGATATTTAAAATACATTTGTCCGATATGCTGCATTTGCGGACTGAGGAAGATAAACGAAAGAAGGTTGTCAGGAATATGCAGAATCGGACTATGCCGCCCTTAGCAATTGGTCAACGGAATGAGAATAAAATATATGTATTTCTAAATTTCTAATATTTTCGAACAAATGTATTTCTAAATTGTCACCAGCCATTTTTAAACACCCTTTTAACTATTTAAGCAAAATTATTTGAATTTTCTACTCAATTATTGCATATTTTTCTAATGTTTATTTATTATTATGCACGCAAGTAAAAATGCTAATTAGTTGCATTGATTTTATACATATATACTTTACATATGTAGGTATGTACTTGCATTATATACATCTGACGTTTTGTCGCTTGACCCAATATGGTTAATAGATAATTTGTGCAATAGGTGCTAAATACCAGATTTATTAGTGCAAATGAAACGTGTTTACTAAAGATTACGACGTGAATGTGCATATGAGTAGTTGTTGTACATTTGCCTATGCAACGCCTACACATAGTTTTTTTTTTTAATTTAATATGAATGTTAACATGAAAGTAAACAAAATATGCAAGACACTTCCTACATTGCTACTGCGCTTCCACTGCACTCTTACCGCTGCTGTAGAATATAATATTTTGCTTTTAGAAATGGAAACAACTAATTATTACATACTGCATACATATAGATACATATGTGTGTATGAATATATGTGAAAATTTTTGAACAAAATATATATTGAAGTATTTATGTATGTATATGAACAGTGTTACTTCATAGCAAAATACAATAGCAAATTATAGTAAAGTTTAACAAAAGTCAATTTGTATACATAACATAAATATGTATATGCATGTTTGTATATACATATGTATTTGCAGTTAGTTAATTTGTTACTTTTGAATAGCTAAAATACTGACAACCCGATTACTTGGCATTCCAAACACAATTTGTGGCGGATTTACTTGACGGTACATATTTTTCACTGAGTGTACATTTCTTATGTATATATGTATGTACATATGCATGGCACGTCTATTTTTAATTTTTCCGCCCATGAATTCAGCATAACATGAATATTGTACATTGTCGCGCGCATAATACATATTTGCATAAAAACATTTACGCATTTTGTATATGTACGAAAAGAGTAAATGCAATAACTCACAGTCATAGAGCTATACATATACATAAGTAATTTGTTTGAATTTAAAAGTAGAAAACA